CAGATCATAATCATTCTGATCACATTTGAATGAACTTTTAAAAATAAACATCCAAAACATAGTGTAGAATGAAAACAAATTACCTAAGACTAAACATAGTATTATCCCATAAACACAAACATGTATCTCTAGGTTACTATTTTGATAATATCCCATAAACACAGACATATATCTCTAGGTTACTATAGTAACACTAGTTACACATCATAATATTTTATCAAAATAGTAACACTAGTTACATAGCATAGTATTTCAAATTTTGTACTTTTATATGGTTTTGATTTTTAAAGTTTAACATCCAAAATATATAAAAAACTCATAAAACTCAACACCAAACAACCCAATTAAAATGGACAGAGGACCTAAACAGATATCTCCCAAGAAGACATACAAACGGCCAACAGATATAGGAAAAGATGATCAACTTCATTGGCTATTAGGGAAATGCAAATCAAAACTACAATGAGATACCACCTCACACCTGTTAGAATAGCTATTATCAATAAGGCAAGTAATAGTGTTGCAGAAGTTGTGGAGCAAAGGGAACCCTCAGTCACTGCTGGTGGGAATGTGAACTGGTACAGCCACTATGGGAAACAGTCTGGTGGTTCCTAAAAAATTAATAGAGTTACTTTATGACCCAGCAATCTCTCTTCTGAATACCTACCTGAAAAACACAAAAACATGGCCCTGGCCAGGTGGCTCAGGTGGTTGGTGAATCTGTTCACCAAAAGATTGCAAGTTTAACTCCCCATCTGGGTGCGTATGGGAGGCAACCAATCAATGTTTTTCTCTCTATTCCTTCCTCTCTCTAAAAATCAATAAAAACATACCCCTCCGGTGAAGTTTAAAAAAAAAACAAAACAAAAAAAACTCAAAAACATGTATTCACAAAGATATATGCACCCCTCAGTTCATTGCAGCATTACTCATGGACGCCAAAATGTGGAGACAACTCAAAGTATCCTTCAACAGAGGGTCAGATCAAGAAAACATGGTATAGCCTCAGCCGGTTCGGCTCAATAAATAGAGCATGGGCCCACGAACTGAAGGGTCCCGGGTTCAATTCTGATCAAAAGGGCACATATTTCAGTTGCAGGCTTGATCCTCAGACCTGCTCATGTGGAAGGCAACCAATGGATGTTTTTCTCACATCAATGTTTCTCTCTGTGTGTCTCTCCCCTCCCTTACACTCTCTAAAATCAATGGGAAAATATTACCAGGTAAGGATTAACAACAACAAAAAATGTGATAATGGGAGTATTACTCAGCCATAAGAAAAGACGAAATACTGCCATTTGCAAAACATGGATGGACCTTGAGAATATTATGCTAAGTGAAATCAGTCAGAAAAAGAACCATATGATTTCACTCATATGTGGGATATAAAACTGAAACTCTAGACACAGATAGCAGTGTGGTGGTTACCAGAAGAAAGGGGCTAGGGAGGGGGGGTATGGGGAGGTGGGAGGTGGAAAAGGCATAATATACGGTGATGAAAGATGGTTTGACTTTGGGATGTGGGCACATAATGCAATATACAGATCTCGAATCATAGAAATGTACACTTGAAACTTATATAATCCTATTAACCAAGGTCACCTGAATAAATTTAATAAATCATATATAATAAAAGCCTAATATGCACCAAAACCGGTTTGGCTCAGTGGATAGAGCGTCAGTCTGCAGACTGGAAGGTTCCAGGTTCGATTCTGGTCAGCGGCAGGTACATTGGTTGCGGGCACATTCCCAGTAAGGGGCGTGCAGGAGGCAGCTGGTGGATGTTTCTCTCTCATCAATGTTTCTAGCTCTCTATCCCTCTCCCTTCCTCTCTGTAAAAAAATCAATAAAATAGGTTTAAAAACAAAAAAGTCTGATATGCAAAGTGTCTGGTTGTCCATTCAACCAATCGAATTACAATATGCTAATGATATGCTAAGGCCACTCAACTGCTCACTATGACATGCATTGACCACCAGGGGGCAGAGAGTCAAGTGGCTGACCAGTTGCTATGATGTGCACTGACCACCAGGGGGCAGATGCTACAACTGGTAGGTTAGCTTGCTCCTGGGGTCCGGCCAATTGGGACTGAGCAAGACCGGCCAGACATGGTCTGGAGCCCTCTCATGGTCCCTTCCCATATGGCCAACCTCCCACATCCCTCCTGGGCCTTGAACGATTGTGCACCGGTGGGGTTCCTAGGCCTGACCTCTCGTAATCCAGGACTCCTCGGGGGATGTCAGAGAGCCAGTTTCAGCCCGATCCTGCAGGCTAGACAGAGAGACCCTACAGGTGCACAAATTCATGCACTGGGCCTCTATTAATTTTAATAAAATAAAATAGTGACCATTAATTAGTTGACTTCTGGAAAAAATATCTCACACTAAGCAAACTTCAAATCCATGAACTCAAGTTCAACTGATTTTCTTTTTTATTTATAAAGCTTTGAGTTAAAAAACTGTATATATTTAAAGTTTTAATACATATATATGCTCATGAAATCATCACATAATCAAGATAAGGAACACACCCCTAAGAGTTCCCAACTGTCCCTTTGTAATCTCTCCTTCCCACTCTCCACCACATCCTGGTCAATGCATGTGAAACCAATTATCTGTTTTATTACTGTACAGATTAAATTGAATTTCCTATAGTCTCATAAATAGATTCATACACTATATATTCTTTTTGTCTTGGCTTCATTCTTTTTTATTTTATTTTGCAATTACAGTTTACACTCAATATTATTTTGTTTTAGTTTCAGGTGCACAGAATGATGGTTAGACAATCATAGCCTTTACAGAATGATGCCCTTTACAGAGAGTGGTACCCATCTGACACCTTAGATAGTTATTACAATATTAACTATCCTAGAGGCCCAATGCACGAAGATTCGTGCAAGCATGGGCTGTCCTTCCCCTGCCTGTTAGCACTGCTTTCACTACAATTGGAGCTGCTTTTCCACCTTTGCTCCAGCCCAGAGCTGCCTTTCCACCTTCCCATGCTGCCCAGAGGCCCAGAGAGGCTGGGGCAGTGCAGACTGCCTGCATCATCGCCATGGCAATGACGCAAACATCCCACCCGCCCCCAGCCACTCACGGCAGCGTATGCAAATTAACCCACCATCTTTAATGGGTTAATCTGCATACACATTCTAATTGGCTGTGGATGTCGTGAAGATAGTCAATTTGTATCTTACTCTTTTATTAGTGTAGATTCTGTTATTTTACTGAATTTACTTATCAGTTGAGTAAGAGTGGCCGTCCTGTCTTGTTCCTCATCTCAAAGGAAATGCTTTTAGTTTTTGCCCATTGAGAACGATGTATATTCCTTCTATATTCACTATGTCGAAGGTTTCTATCAAAAAATGGGTGCTGGATTTTGTAAAATACTTTTTCTCCATCTATTGATATGATCATGTGATTTTTTCCCCTCCATTTTGTTTATGTGATATATCATGTTTACTGATTTATATACAACCTTGCACCCCCAGAATAAATCCCACTTGATCATGGTGTATGATCTTTTTAATGTATTGCTGAATCTGGTTTATTAGCATTTTGTTTAGGATTTTAGAATTTGTGTTCATCAGGGATACTGGCCTATAATTTTTTTGTCTTTATCATATCTTTATCTGGTTTTTGGAATTAAGATAATCCTGGCCTTATAAAATGATCTCAAGAGTCTTCCCTCCTTTTGAATTTTCTGGAATAGTTTGAGGAGAGGAACTACTTCTTTGAATGTTTGGTAAAATTTGCCTGAGAAGCCATCCAGTCTAAGATTTTTCATTTGTTGGGAGTTTTTTTTATTTTTTATTACTGCTTCAATTTCACTAGTTATAATCAGTCTAGTCAAATTCTTTTATTCTTCCTAATTTAGTTTTGGAAGATTGTATGTTTCTAGGAATTTATCCTTTTCATTCAGATTGTCCAATTTGTTGGCATATAAATGTTTGCGGTTATTTTCTTACAATCCTTTGTATTTCTGTGGTTTCAGTTTTACTGCTCCTCTTTCATTTATGATTTTATTTATTTGGGTCCTCACTCAATTTTTCTTGATGACTCTGGTTAAAGGTTTGCCAATTTCGTTTCTTTTCAAAGAACTAGCTCTTAGTTTCATTGATCTTTTGAATTGTTTCTTTGGACTCTATTACATTTAGTTCTACTCTATTTTTTATTATTTCCTTTCTTCTACTCACTTTAGAATTTGTTTCTTGTTCTTTTTCTAGTTTCTTTAAGTGTTAAGGTTAGGTTGTTTATTTGAGATTCTTCTTGTTCCCTGAGGTATGACTGTTCCCTGAGGTATGACTGTAATGCTATGAATTTTCCTCTTAAAACTGCTTTCACTGGGTCCCAGAGGTTTGGGGCTGTTGTGTTCTCATTTTCATGTTTCAAGGTAGCTTTCTATTTCTTCCTTGATCTCGCTGTTATCCCGTTCATTGTTTAGTAACATGTTATTTACGGTAGTGTCCATGTCTTCGTATTTTTCAGTTTTTCCTTGTGATTGATTTCTAATTTCATAGCCTTTTTGTAAAAGACGATGCTTGATATGATTTCAATCTTCTTAAATTTATTGAGACTTGTTTTGTAGCCTAACATGTGTTCTATCATAGAAAATATTCAATGTGCACTTAAAAAGAATGTATATTCTGCTGTTTTGGGGTGAAATGCTCCACTGACAATTAAATTTGGGGAATTTTTAATTTTGAAAATTGGGAATTAAATCATTAAATAAATCATATATACGTCTTCCTCACAAAGAATAAAAAAATAAAGTTTAAATGAAAATAGCAATAGGAATGAACAATGTACCAAGTTTTCCCAGGGAAAATTGTGGTCGAGTACTCAATAAATAATGATAGTACACCTGCAAACAGGTTTAAATTACCTGAGTTTTTCTCCAATTGAAGGTGTTACACAGTAAATTTAATTCTAGAGAGTTTTCATCAGTTTCTCTTTAAATATGTTTCACGTAGTACATATGAAGAGCTTAATACTTACTTATCAAGGAAATCCTTATCCACTACAGCACTGATGTCGAGAAGAGGATTTCCCATTCCAAAGAGAACATTTTCACTAAAAAACAAAATACAAGCACAAGTTAGAAATAATTCTGAAAGTAAGGTGATGTGTGAAATGCACACAAATGTAAATATCTTTACCTCATCATGAAAAATAAACCTAACACACTAGTTTATTAAACATTGTATTTTCCTATTACATGTAGGACAACTTAGAGGTAGTACAAATCCATTTAGAAAGCATGATGACTTAAATTGGATGAAATAAAAAATAACAAGAAACCAAGTCATGTGGTTTTGTTCCTAATATTCAACTGTCAATGATTCAATCTAATTAATTATAATGATTTTTTAAAGATCTCTTACAACAAAGTTTTATACTCAATAGACATAATAATTAACTTTAACTAGTAAGACATCCAACTACTGGAAGTTATTAGAGAGCATGGAGCAAGTCCTGGAGGAGTCAAGGACATGTAAGCTCATGTACCCATGTGACCCCATACCTTGCTGTGATATACTTTATAGTAAGAAATGTATATTGTTAGGTGATTATTGCTCAATCTTTTCAGCAAAGCATATGAAATGTGATTCAGAGCTTCTTGTCTAAAGGACAAAAGGAGAAGGATTTATACATTAACTACTGTCCTGCATGGCAAGAGACATGCTGTCAAACTGCAATGGTTCAAAGTTTCTGTAGAACCTACTGCAGCAACAGTGCTGTCTAAGAGATGTAAACACTGGAACTTAAAGTAGCACATAAGTGGTGTCTCCATACAGTTAAGTAAAAACTACTCAATAATTTACCAAAGCAAATGACTTTAAACTACTCATGTCATATTTTCCTCTCCATCATTATACATAATTGACAAACTACTACATATGACTTCACTGTAATATGACAAATGAACTCTACAGGTATGATTCAGAATTGTCCTGGGTAAACTGGGACATATGGTCATCCTATTTATAAGCTAACTTTGCTATTTGAAAATAAGAATTCATGCTTATGGTTTATTACAGTATTTTTTTTTTTTTTTAGTAAACACTTCCTCTGATTCCAAGGACCATGCCAGTCTTCACATTTGGGGAGGAGATTAAAGGCTGAAGGTTATCAGGAGAGACCCAATTCTGAATCTGGTCTGATACACTTGGATATCGGTGCTGCTAAAAAATTGATTGTTAGAATATTAGTAACTGATCACTGGACCAAAGCTAAAAGCCTGAAACAACCAGAGTGTTCCATTAACTAAGCAATGTTATAACTTATAGGGTTTGACCAGAGGAAAGAAAAAGTCATTCAACAGAATGAAGACCAGATATTGTACAATAATGTGACTCATACTAGAAAAATATCTAAATGAATATGGCCATAAAAATGTTAAAATTCAAGAGGAGAAAAATAAAGTGATAAACATACTATTGCTAGTAAAAAAAATTAAAGAGAGTTCAGCATTTCAGATAAATAAAAGTTACCTAACAGTCATTTATAATAAACAATTACTTTAGATAAATATTTCTAATGCATGCCTCCTGCAAACCAAACAGTCTGTTCACTGAGTCTGCCATTCACAAGCACAGAAATGTAGTTTTCCATAAGGTAATCAGGTATATAGTTACTAGTATAGGCCTCATGGGGTATTTAGAAAGTATCATCAATGGTTAAACTCTTCCCTACCTAGAAGGATATTACAATATTTTTTTAATAACAATTTAAAACAAATAAGTATGAAGATGTAAAGAGATATTATTATTAACTAATGTTACAGGAAAGGGTTAACATTCAGTCTAGTCAATCATTTTGATTCTGTTTTATCTTTGACAGTTCTACTTAATGTAGCAATACTGTGGCTGGGAAGATTTGGAGTTAGAAAACCTTGTATGCTTTTCAAACAAAGATGACCTATTTATAAATATGAGCATTAACAGCTGACAACATTGCACAGTTCTGTAAGAGGATTCCTGTTTTAGTTGTTCAAAAATAAGTTATTTCATAAATAAAACAATTGCATCTTATTTTAAAAGTTCATTTGCCTCACTAAGAAGTCCCATACATAAAAGTTTGTGCAGCCATTGAAATTTTCATTTCTTATAAAAGACAAAAGTCCTGAAATGAGTTTGAAAATTCTGTTTTAAAGGCACTACACAAACAACTCAACAAAGTAAGGCAGTTTCAAACTGAGCCAAATTTTAGTCTTCGTATGAATGTTCTCCATCTCAGTGGCTTGGCAGATCTTGTTGGATGCACCTCAAAGCCTTGAGTGTTAGGAGAAAAATACCCCAGGACCCCACCCACATCCCACAGAAATTTTCCAATGTAGGCCAACCCACAGATGGTTCCAGAATCATCGTGTAGGACACAGTAATGTCGAGTCCCAGAATAGTCTTTGACCAAATCTGACCTGTCTGGGTAGCCCAAAGAATAGGGCTCCTCAGCTCTCCCTGTCTCCCTACCTCATTTTCCAGTCTTTCCTGGCACAAATTCAAGCTGTAAGCAATGCCCAAAACCAGACTAGACACCGATGTTAGAGGGGGAAAAGGAAATATTCTTAGGGGTGTTTTGAAATAATGTTGCTCAGTGAAAAGTGCATAAAGTAGGAGTCAGAAGAGCTTAGATCTTTTTTTTAAATCCTTTATTGTTGAGAATATTACAGATATTCCCCCTAATCTCCCCATTGCCTCCCTCCACCTGGTTCCCACCCCACCCAGTCCTTCACCACCCTATTGTCTGTGTCCATTGGTAATACATATGTTAATATAAATTCTTTGGTTAATCTCTTCCTGGTTCCCCTCCCCCTTCCCTCTGAGATTCCATGTTCCATGTTTCTGTGCCTCTGGTTCTATTTTACTCATCAGTTTATTTTGTTCATTAGATTCCTTGTTTATTTATTTTTATTTTTAGATTCAATTGTTGGTAAATATGCATGCACTGCCATTTCATTGTCCATATTTTTTTATCTTTTATTTCTTCTTCAACATTTCATGTAATAATGGTTTGGAGGTAGCTTTTCCTTGTCTGAGAAACTCTTTATCTGACCTTCAATTCTAAATGGCCTAAATTCTATCTTAAGCTCTACTAGGAAATATGAAGGTCCAGAACAAAGAGTAAAATGACTGCTAAAATTCTCTTCTATCCTCTCATTCTATGTTTTCCTGTCTCCTGAATTTATCTCAAGTATCAACTTTCCTATTTGGCCAATTAAAAATGACAAAAGCATCCATTTGTCAAATATGTTCTATCATTCCCCAAATTAAGACCAGTGAGATTCTGATAACAAATGATAAAAGTTATTATTCAATAATTGGTTTTAAAGACTGTAAATTTGGACTCTTCATCAGTAATGATGAAGTAGAATATGAATAAACATTCAAAGAGATATCTCCAGCGAAATTCATTCAAAGATCTAAAACTTAAATATATATATATATGTAATATATATATATATATATATTTTTTTTTTTTTGCTTTAAATCATTTTTTTAGAAACTCCTAATAGTTGAGTGCTATCCTGGAAAAGGCACTGAACCAGGTGTCTAGACATCTGGGTTCTAGTTAGATATATGCAATTATTCTGTATAAATATAAACCAATTTTGGCTTCAGTTTCTTCATTTGTAAAGTCAGGGAATTAGGTAAATGTCATTCATGCTTAAAAACTTAAGATTTAAACATTTCTTTTCAGATGACACCATTCCTAAGAGCTCAAATTGCTTTTAACAAGGAGGCATTTATAAAATGTCTTGCATACCTACTCAAGAACATTGTGGGATACATAAGAATGTCGCCATCACTGAGTATATCATTAAACAAATGTCCAGAGAAGAAGAAAGAGAAAAAACAGTAATTCAAGAAAAGGCTCTCAACCAGAACCCAGGTATGTTGAGCACAGGCCCTCAATGGTTTCCAACTCTACATCCTGTCACATATTTAGCAACAATTATTTTAAGTATGATGTAAAAAAGAACACTGACCATGAAGTTAGATTTTGATAACTTGTGACCTAGTTCACTCTCCTTACCAGTAAAAGCAGGTTGATAATATATATCTTTGGGGCTATTAGACTGGACATAAAATGAGAACATGCCTAACATGGTGTGAAAACTAAGGTATGACATAACTGCATTAAATGCAGTTCTCACCGGGTGCTGTCAGGGATTATCAACTCATTCAAAACTGTCACCACATCATAGCTGTTTCAGCTTCAGTAATCTCCCTGCCTACTCCTGAACTTAAATCATCAAGCTCCTTAGAAGACTAGAGGAAAGAAAGAGGTACTGCAGTTGTCTCTCACAATACTTTAAAATTTCTGTCCATGGAAGCAGCTTCTTCAGAAAATGTAAGTAATATATTGTTTCTATAAAGGCATCATGAGGAGCACTAGATCATGGATATCTGGATCCAATTCCTAACTCTGCCGCTAACTGATTTTGCACCCGGCACTCAACTATTCTTGGTCTGTTTCCTCAGTTGTAAAATGTGGCAGCTGTTTTGGATAACATTTAAAAATCGTTAAGTCATGTCACTATAGATCAACACTATGTAAAATGCAGAGAATCATCTGAAGAAACAGCATAAATGTTATTAGCAGTTGCCTGTCCTTTCCTAAGTCAAATAAGGCTGGCGCCAACCTTTCAGTCAGCCTCTTGAACACAACCATTAAACCCTTCATGAAAAGGTGCAGCCTGTTGCCCCTTGCCAAGCAGCAGCAGCTTTATATTTGGGAGTTTCTCCAATTAGGAGTAGCCAGGAAGACAATGGTCAATTAAAATTGAGTCCACATAAGAAATGATTCTTAATACACAAAGTAACTGACCCACAACCTAATTAAGAGCAGTTTCTGATACTGGGACTGGCAGTGGGAAGGGGAAATTAATCTGCTTTGACAGCACTTTCTTAATTCATCCTAAAATGCTATTAGCATTGTAACCTGGACTTCTGTGTATTGTAAAACCTTTCCCCCAGTGTCTCCATGTTTCGGCATCTGAATGTCTCCTCCTGCATAATGAAGTGCCCTTTGCCTGTGTTAGTTCCGAATTATGCAAGTTAAGAAAGAGA